TCCATGGGCCCCCAAACCCATGAACCCCCACCCCTATGGATACTCACTCCTGTGGGCATCCACTCCCATGAGCACCCAGCACGTGCATCCACCCTCACAGGCACCCACTTCAGCAGCACCCATCCCCATGGGCACCCCCTCCATTGCGTACTCACCCTGTGCACCCCCCTCTGTGGACACTCACCCCCCATGGACACTGACCTCACTGGGAACCCACCTCACCAACACCCAACCCCACCACGCACGCACCTCACCAGGCGCTCTCACTGGCAACCACCCACTCCAACAGGTACCCTCACCGGTCGGCGTCCTCACCGGTGGGCACCCACCTCGCCAGCGGGTACCCGCACAACCGAGCACCCCCACCAGCACCCACCCACCCACCTGGGCCTTTTAATTTTCCGGCTGGTGGCTCCCTGCTCCCTTCTGCAAGGAAACCTGTGTGCAGACACCCCTTGGCTGGCACGGCCGTCGCCTCCCCGCACGGGATAAACAGCTCCAGCTCTCACACTTAAAAAGCTAACACTGTGGAATAAAGTAGGAGGCAAGATTGTTTATTACCGCAAGCAATTTTAATACAAAAATGTGTCTGGTTTTTAAACAATTCATTGGTAGAGCTTCAGTTTTGCCTCAATTTAAACCAATTGAGAGAATCACACAGCAACATGGTCAGAGCCGGAGAGGAACAATATTTAATAAATACAGGAGCTCTGGAGAGCCCTCTCCCCCAGCCCGTCTCCTGGTCACTTGGTCAGTTTGATTTTATTACAAAGGAAAAGTAGCGTACAAAAGCGAGACAGGACTTGTAGCAAGTGTGCTGGTGAAACTCATTTCAAGGACAAGCAACTGTGCGTGTAAGTCCAGATTTCTTCTAGGAGCAGAGGTCACATCAATCTCAGCCTGGTTTGAAGTGGAATGACCAGTTAAATAATAAATAGGAAAGAAGAGATGCAGATAAATAGCGATTCTGTAAGGAACACCTCGGGCTGGTCTCTTAGGCCATCCATCCAGAAGAATCCTCTAATTTGAAGGACCCACCACCGCTAAGGGATGTATCTGAGTGATCCAGACCTGCAATCTTACCAGCGTGCTCTCCTCTGGACAGCTTCAGCGTGAACCCCCTCCCCAGACCCGTCACCCTTTGTTTGTTCTTTAAAAACGAAGTTGTCGGGACAGTATTTTCAAGACAGCAATTGTCATGACCTTCGCTGTAGTGTGTGCAAATTTTATTAAGCCAAACTCCGCTTTCTTCAGGTAAAACCACATAGCTTTAAAAAAATGGAAACATAAGCCCCAAGTCCCCTCACCTCATGTTTCTCTGGTTGAGGTATCTGTGATTTACAAAAAGAGAGTTCCTTGAACACTGTAGGATTCAGGTCTTTGTTTTTAAATATAATTTACCTTGCTGAGACAGCAAGTTAAGTTTATAAAGATGCATTTAGGAAACAATCCTAAAAGATAAAGCAGGTTCGCACCCTGCACCGCGCAGAAATCCTATTTATATTTTAGTTTTTCTTTACACTTTCACATCTTGACCTTTTTTTTTTTTTGCTTCCTTTTTTTTTTTTTTTCTTTTTCTTTTTTTTTTTTTTTTTCTCTCCCACATTTCAGTTTGCCAGGCCCCTCTCTGAACAGGGGTCGCCGAGAGGCAATTTTTATCTACATAAATATTCACATGAAAATAGTAACTTACAAAAAAGGAAAAAAAAAAAAACCAAAACCAAAACCCAAATAAGGCAGCTTCATAACACAACTTTCTTTTACACTTTTAACAATATAGTTTCTCCCATTTAGAATAAATATACATCCAATGTACGTAGCAGGGTTAAAAATTGGACACAGGTTGGGTTTTCTTTCTTTCAGGAGGGCGTGGGTACAGTATTATCTTTTAGGGCCTGGAGTTTTTGGGGTGGCAGTGGTTGTTTTCTTGGACATGGTTGGGATTTTGGAGGGTTTGGCCATCCCCCGGCGCGAGCCGCCCTGCCCGCCGGCCGCGCTGCTCTCCGAAGTGTCCGAGCACGCCGACTGCGTTTCCAGCAGGTCAAAATCGGAGGCGTCGCTTCCCCGCCGGCTGCTGGCCCGACTGCCCGTGCGGCTCCCGGCACGGCTGGTGGGACGGCTGGCTGTTTTTTTAGGATCTGCAAGGGGAACCGAGAGAGCCGTGAGCAGGCGGAGGAGGAGGAGGAGGAGGATTCCTCCCCATCCCCGGACCGACCAGCACCCAAATCCCCAGCGCCGCTGCGGCTGCTTTCAACCACCCGGCCCAGCACCCCTGAAACAGGGGGGGGTTCAGCACCAGGACCGATTCACTCCCGAGCTTTTAACGAAGCAGCAGCAAGCCCTAGCACTACGAAACCGCTGCAGCATCCCCTCTCCCAGGCAGGGACAGAGCGGTGGCCATCGGCCTCCCCAGCTCGCTGCGGGCTCCCTAAATATTTAGTATTTTCTCTGCCAATTTAAGCAACCGAGGAGGAAGAGCAGCAGCAGGAGTTTTTCGGTCTTTGCACCTAACTTACCTGCCCGACTGGTTTTGGCACCTGTAGAGACGGGTGAGGAGCTGTTACTGGTGTCCCCAGCCAGGGAGGTTCGGCTGGAGTGGAAGGTGGGTCGCTTCAGCTTGCTGCCCGCGGAGGGGGTCACCTTGGGAGGAAGCACACACAGAGCATCTTTTAGGTGTCACCTGGGCCGCAACGGGCCAAGATCACGTCCGAGATCAGTACCTCGGCAAAAAGATTTTGACATTTAAGAAACACCCCATCTTAACGGTCAAGGAGAACACAAGCTGTCGTTTCAGCAGCGGTTAATAAAAAAGAAAAAAGCCTGGAGCCTGAAAATTTGGAGGGCAAGAGCAGTTTGGGCGCTGCAGGCCGATGCATAGCTATTTGTTGGAAAAAAAATAAAAGCAAAGCTGCTCTCCATCTGGAGGATGACAGCATCATCTGGGCTCAAAAGCTCCACAGAGAGAAATCTTGCAAAAATGGGTATTTTAGCATCTAAGCAGCTCAGGACCATTTTGGAAGGCCAAATACAATACAGCGTCGTAAGAAACGCATCCTGTTGTCGGGAGGCATCAGCGCGGTGCGATGCTGTGAGTCGGAGGGACGTCGCTCCGGTGCTGGTGCCCCGGGCAGGTCCGTGCACCCACCACCCAAGGGCAGACAAATTTGAGCAGCGAGGCACCGGCGATGAACGGGGACACAAAACGGAGCGAAATCAGCTCTGGTCGCATCCTGAAACGGTGCTTTACCTGACCTTTAAGACGTTGCAAACGCAGACGGGGGGTGGAAAAGCAGCACAACAGGCAGCTCTGCTCCCGCCTGCTGCGGGAAGAAAGCGAAGGGGAAGGTGCCGGGACAGGGCAGGGGGCCGGCAGGGCGAGGGCACCTGGATCCAGCCGGAAAGGGCAGCTCCAGTTTCCATACGCCAACCAAAGCTCTGGCTTTGGGGCAGCGCTTGGCAGGAAAGCGACTGCCCGTGGTGTCCCCCGGCCCCTGGGGCTCGGGGAGGCACCGCTGTGCTGCAGGGACGGCTCCAGCCCAGCTGCATTGCCGGGGCAGGGCAGGGTGCCGGCAGGGCGAGGGCACCTGGATCCAGCCGGAAAGGGCAGCTCCAGTTTCCATACGCCAACCAAAGCTCTGGCTTTGGGGCAGCGCTTGGCAGGAAAGCGACTGCCCGTGGTGTCCCCCGGCCCCTGGGGCTCGGGGAGGCACCGCTGTGCTGCAGGGACGGCTCCAGCCCAGCTGCATCCCTGGGCAGCTGTGCATTAACGCCGGAGGGCATTTCCCAATGAGCTTTAAAGCAACAGCTGGAGAGGTTTCCCTCCACCCCCTGCGATTTTGGGTTTTTTGGGAAACTTCGAAATCTTGGAAAGTCATGAAACTGGAGCTGCAGCGGGGGAGAGGGAGGTGGGAGAGGGGCAGCCGAGCAGCGGGCTCCCCTTTGGGCGCCGGGGGAATTAAAATCCATCAACACGTGATTGCAAAGGTACCATTTTCATCATCAGAGATTACGATTCTTGTCCTTGATCCTATTTTATAAACAAGTTAAGAGCAGCAAGCAGGCGATTTAGGGCAATTGGGGAAGTGCTCCTGACCTTCTGATGATTTAAATATAATTCCTTTTCTGCATGAAAGCACCGCCGAGCAAGACGCAGTTATCTTGCCAGCACACACCACCACTCAGTGAACCACCGAGATCCACCAGGTATTTCTCATCACCGATTCACAAGGTCAGGAAAGTCCACGAGGAGGCTGAAACTTTAGGGAGGTCAAAATCTCCGCCCGAATTCATCCTCCCGGGAGCATCAAGCCGGTGACAGTGCCGGACACACCATACGTGCTTCAACACGGTGATAAATAACAAGCGCTTCATAAAAACGAAGGCGATGTGGTTACTGTGCATGCGCTGTAGCTGATTTTCAAGTCTCAACTCGGCTGCTGGATTTCAATTTCTGAAAGCCAAACACGGCTGCTTTTCACTGCTTAAAAGCTCTTAAAGCTTGGAAAATGTCCTTTTTTTTTTTTTAAAGCACAAGAGGATAAATGTCGCTCTCTTGGTTTGAAAGCAGGTAAACGTGAATCGCAAGCAGTTGTGCTTTATTCTAAAGTCGATGTTTTATTTAATCCGAGTTAGAAACCCATGAAAAACGCTAACAGTCGGAGCGTTAGCGGTGCTGACAAGCGCTGCTCTACCACAAGGAAAGCGTTAAAACAGGCAAGGGAGCAGGACTTCTCCGGGCCAGCGGCACTCCGGCCTGTCAGCAGGTCCTCGGGGCTGCGAGACCATACTCTACCTCGGCGCTTGAGAGCTGGAAGTCGGAATAATCGAATCCCCTCAGGGGGGTGCCCGCTTTACTGTTTATCAACCAGGGTTTGTCATAACATCGAGAGAAGTGATGTGGAGTCTGTGGGGGAAAAAAAAAAAAGAAACGGAAAAGTATCTGGCATAGGGGGAAATGGCACTAAAATGAATCGAGAACCAAACAGAAAATATATAAATTAAAATAAAAGGAAAAAACCCAAACAGATGATGAAATAAAACATGCGTGGGCAGACGATGTGGTGGGAAAGGAGAGACGATGGGTGATGGCTTCTTCCTTGTGCCGGCTGGACACCACGGCTGCAGCACAGCCCTGCCTCGGGGACCAGGAGCCTTCGGCTGCACGGCGAGAGCCGGGGAGCCTTCTGCAGAGCCGTGAGCGCCCAGCTTGGGCTGAAAACCTGACCTGCACCATCCCACCCCCCCCATCCCGCGTGGACAGCAGGGTTCTTCCTGCAGACACCATGAACGTCCTTCCAGAGACCTCAGCAACCATCAAGCCCCTGATCCCCAACCTTCCTCCTCCTCTGTACACCTCCTGCATCTCCTCATCTCACCAGGATGGGTTTGGAGGCCACCAGTTTCTGAAGGAGAGGAAAGAGGAAGGCTTCACGCGCAAAACCCCACCTTGGCTCCGCTGGCCGGAGTTGCGGGAGAGGATGGCATGGAGGCGCAGCTGTGGTTGCTCTGGCTGGCGCTGGAACTGGATCGCGTCGGGGAGGCTGCCCGGGAGGATGGTTTTGATCTTCGGCCTCGCGATCGGAACGGTGTCATTCCCTGGGAGGCTCCCTCCGGCAAGATGAATTTCTCTCGGAGTTCAAGGTTGGTCCGTCCTCGTGCTGGAAAGGGACAAAGGAGAGGAGACCTGAGGCTCACGTGAACCCGACATCGTTACCGGGGCTCAGGAGGCTCCGGGGGTCAGAGCACGCGTCCTTGCGGTGTCTCCCAAAGCCCATCTCCGAGGGCGAGCGGATGGCAGCGAGACCGTCCCAGCTCTCTTGCTCTGCCCTAACCACCTCCTGCCACGGATCAGCTCTTTGAGAAACTCTCTGATTAAAAGCTGCCCGAGACCCATGAATTCAATCTGGATGCTCTATTATTCTCTGGTGTCTTGGGGAAAGCAATCCTGACGGCCTTTAAACACGGCGTGTTACAACAGCGGCCGATGTAATCTTTAAAGTGGCTTAAACACAGTAAGAGCAGCTTTGAAGGGTTGCGATTCTGCTCTCTCACAGCTCTGGGCAGCTCTTCACCAATTTTTGGTGAGAGGTGAGAGAGAAGTGACCACCACCCATTAAAAGCCAAGTTTAAAATTTTCATCCAAATGCCCCAAAGAACTGGAGGGTCTCCCTTCGACAAGCGAGGGGCAGCCAAGCAGGGAGAAGGTCTGTGGACTTCAGCTCCTGGGCCAGCTGACACGTGCCAAGGTATTTCACGCTCACGGTGTTCGAACAGAGAGCAAGGGCACGCACCGAGCCTTACGGGACACGGGGGCGATTTTAGAGTTGATGCGTTGTGGACCAGAAAGCCAAGGAAGCAATTGCAGAAGGAAAGCACCACACTGAGATAACCAAGGGATGGAAATAACCTTGATGTCAGTGCTCTGAAACTTCTGCTGCAAAGGAACGGGGGAGGCCGGAGGAGCGGGAAAGCCCTGAAGGTTCCCCAAAGCAAGTGGCACACGCTGTAAATCATCCTGCTTTCAGCAACAGGCGCTAGACAGCAGGAGCAAGGAACGGTTAGGCAGCAGCTTGAAGAAGACATATCCGAAGCAGTTAACATCTCAGAGACCCCAGTGAGACAGGGACATATGGAGTACAGACCTAAGCTCTCCAGAATACGCGGCCCTGATGCACCTCATTCCCGGCCATCCCCCTTGCTAATCGTTGAATTATAGAATAGTTTGGGTTGGAAGGGACCTCTCAAGGCCATCTAGTCCAACCCCCCTGCCGTGGGCAGGGACATCTTCAACTAGAGCAGGTCGCTCAGAGCCCCGTCCAACCTGACCTGGAATGGTTCCAGGGATGGGGCATCCACCACCTCTCTGGGCAACCTGGGCCGGTGCTTCACCACCCGCAGCATCAAAAATTTCTTCCTTCTATCTAGTCTAAATCTCCCCTCTTTTAGTTTAAAGCCATTCCCCCTTGTCCTGTCACAACAGGCCCTGCTAAAAAGTCTGTCCCCATCTTTCTTATAAGCCCCCTTTAAGTACTGACAGGCTGCAGTAAGGTCTCCCGGAAGCCTTCTCTTCTCCAGGCTGAACAACCCCAACTCTCTCAGCCTTTCTTCACAGCAGAGGTGTTCCACCCCCCTGATCATTTTCGTGGCCCTC